GTCTACAGAGTCTTTAATACGGTTACATATAAGCATTGACATTACAAGCAATCAAAACGTATTGAAGTCAAAAAAGTTTGCCAAATAAAAGTGAATTATGACATTAAAAGAACGAAACGGTTATGATGTTTTTGTTTCTTTAGATTATCACAGAAACCCCACAGAAACCCCCCTCTCCCTCAAAAAAAAAAAAGATTTTATTGATTTTCAATCTGACTCATAAACTCATTGACTTTTCAACTTTTTTGTCAACTATTATCTTGCGCTTTAACATTTTTTTTTGTTTTCTTTTAGCTTCCAATTTAATAGAAATTATTTGTCTTTGTTGGGAGTCTTTGTTAGGAGTAAAATAGTTTTAAGAAAAATCTAATTAACAAAATTTAATAAAAAGGCTCTTTATGAAGATCATAAAGTGTTTAATGTTATATTTTTTACAAACTACATAAAACTATAACTATTTGAAAGTTTGAAAATTAATTAAATTAATTAAATTAAAATAAATAAATTAAATTAATTAAATTAAATTAATTAAATTAATTAAATTAATTAAATTAATTAAATTAATTAAATTAATTAAATTAATTAAATTAATTAAATTAATTAAATTAATTAAATTAATTAAATTAATTAAATTAATTAAATGAAATTAATCAAATTAATCAAATTAATTAAATTAATCAAATTAATTAAATTAATCAAATTAATTAAATTAATCAAATTAATTAAACTAATCAAACTAATTAAATTAATTAAATTAATTAAATTAATTAAATTATTTAAGTTAATTAAATTATTTAAATTAAATAACCTTAATTAATTTAAATTATTTAAATTAATTAAATTTAATTAATTTAATTAAATTAGTTAATTTAATTAATTTAATTACTTTAACTAATTTAACTTAAATAACTAATATAATTAATTTAACTTAATTAATTTAAATAATTTATTTAATTTAATTAGTTTAATTAATTTAATTAATTTAACCAATTTAACTAATTTAATTAATTTAACTAATTTAATTGATTTAATTTATTTAACTAATTTAATTAATATAGTTAAGTTTTTTGATAATTATGCTTTTGATAATTTGGAATCTAGGGCAAAAGTTATTTAAACTACATTTATAACTTTAAAATGATTATTTCAGTTTGGATTATAGTTAGTTAAAAATATTTTACGAATAAAATAATTATCTCTTTAATTATAGCGAAGGTAAATTTTTATCATAAAATTAACTTTTTATGAGCTTATTGTACTCAATAGGTTTAATTTTATCTAAAAAATCTGTAGGGGAAGTTGGGGTACAGTGGATTTCTAAAATTAACATACATTTAATTGATAAATCAATCATAAGGATATTTTGCATTTTTACAAATAGTTTTGTGGTAGATCATTTTTTAGTAATAACTGTCTAAAACTCTTTTTACATTGTAAGAGTCTTAAGTTAAGATATTTGTATTTACTTAACTAATGTAAATTTTCTTACCTTGTCATGGAGGTCATGGTTAAAATAACTTTAAAAGTTGAAGTTTTTCATTCGAATTATTAATATTTGTGCTTCTTTTTAGTAGTTTAGCTTTTATTTTAAAAACATTCGTGTCCCAAGAAATTAGACTTAAACTTAAATTGTTATGGTCTGCCACAGTGAATTGGGGTATGTGAATAGGTTGATACACTATGCCCCATTAATGATACTGAAGATTAAATTCGTGCATTTTAAACAAACAAACTACATGAAAATAAATTTATAAGTTTTAAGTTATGAATAATAATATTTGAATAATTTTATTATATTTGTATAAGTTTTATATCAATAAAATGCCTATTTTTTCTTCTTAATTTTCAAAATGCCTATTTTTTCGATTTTATACTAATCTATTTAATAAATGTATGCTAAAAGTATAGTGTATAGTGTCGTAACTCCCTCAGTCATAGCAGTTATTTTGCTATGCCCTTATTTACTATCATTAATTAACACCTGTGTTCATTGATTCATTGTATCCCATTTCTGGGGCACGGTAAATAACGTAACACAACTTATTTTAAATCTTTCTGTGGCCGTTAGATAATAAGTATTTGGATTTTAGTGATTTATTATCATGAAAGGCATATATCTCAATCCTTTTGCCTTGAAAAAAACAAAATACGTACTTTATCTTTAACTAAAATTTAAAAAAATAAAAAAATTAGATCCACTGTGCCCTAACTTCCCTACTTTTTTATACTCCTTCTATTAAATCGTAAAACGTTATATACACAGTAAATACATATAATCGTATATGTATAAACACTACGAAAATTATTAAACATAAGAAAACTACTTATTAAATTGAAACGTCATTTAGTTTAATTATGGTTTTTTAATTTATACAACGAAGAAAATGGTTTAATAAGCTAATTTTTAATTACAGGAACAAAAATTTGGTATAAGTTTTAAAAGTTAAACTTTACTCTTATTCATCTGTGTTTAAGTCTATAACAGAATTGTGCAAATCTACTAATTCTAGTTGTAGATCTAATCTTTACAATAACCATTATATTCTTTTGTTATTCTACTACTCAACAGATGTGATATAAATTTATTACTAGAAATAAGTTAAAGAAATATAGACCATTAAATATTGGAATGAACCCTGACCAAGTGGTGTAGAAGTAGAGCATCACTTCATTATTCAATTTATTTGTCCGCGCAACGGAAAAATAAATTAACTGTTGACGAACAAGGCTACGCAATAACCCGTGATGGCTTTAACTCCGTGGTGCAATAACCCTTTTTTTTAACTCCAAGTACGAACAACGACAAAGAAATCGGTCTCCTTTGCCAAGAAAATGTTTCGGAGTTAAAAAGTTATATGAGGGAAATAACAACAAAATAAGTAGCTTTTTCAACTGTAGTGACCCTCCTGGAAACTGAACCACTGTGATAAGACCGTAAGGACCTCTTCCCAGCTAGCAAGAAGTTATTGGCCCAATGTATAAAACAACATTGGCGAAATATTTGGATTGGGTCAATGCTTCTCCAATGCATGTACGTTAAGTTTTATTTCTAATATAATTTTGCCGACGCAACTGTACGAATAGCACAAACACTTTTTGTGATACGCGTATTTGACAAATACAAGGTTTCCATCGTTAACGTAGTATCAAAGATCTTAACTAGATTCTAATCTTTAAATATAAATATTCATTTGACTTATTGTATTTCAGTTAAGTAACATTTATTACAATAGTATGTAAATATTTTTATACAAAGTGCAGTTTGAAAAAAATTATTTTTCATGCACTGAAAAATTAAAAAAAATTGTTGTTATAAAAAGAAAATAAATAAATAAAAGTGAAGTAAATGAAAAAATATATGCTAATTTTTCATTGTAAATAATTATTATATAGAAAATGGATAGCTATACAAAAGATTATTCATACTCTTCCATTCGTCGAAAAGCTAAAAAACAAGCTGAACTTGATTTAAATACAGTATATAACAATCTTCCTGCCCGTACCAATTTTTGTGATGTCAAGCAGCTAGTTCAGCAGGAAGATATAACTTTATTAAAAGATTAACAAGTTTTTTTAAAAAAAATTACATCAACTAATACCCAGACAACAGATTTTAATTTACAGAGTAATTTTAGTTCTGAAACAATCAGAGATTTAAATTTTGCTAATGATAATATCAATGATATTGATTCGGAGGAAAATAACTATGTTTCATCTAGCTCTGATAATCAAGATGAAAATTTTGATGGTGAAATAAACAACATACTTCGCGATTGGTCTCTGCAATATAAAATAACCCATGTGGCGCTTGCATCACTTCTATGCATTCTTAAACCATATTTCCCAACTTTACCACAACATCCAAGGACATTATTAAAGACACCTACAATATTTGAAGTTAAAAAACTACAAAGTGGAGGAGATTATTGTCACATTGGACTTGAGAATGGTTTAAAAAACTGCATTAATGATTTGTTTATACCTGAGAATACAAACATCTACTTGCAAATTAACATAGATGGGTTGCCTCTTTTCAAAAGCTCTGGTGTCTCAGTATGGCCAATACTTTGTATTGTAAAGAACTTCAGTATAAAAGAACCATTTGTTGTAGGAATATATAGCGGAAAAGAAAAACCACCAAGTGCAGCAGAGTTTCTCGAAGAGTTTGTTGAAGAAACTAAACATTTAGTAGATAATGGTTTTCTGTTTAATAACAAAAGGTATTCTGTTAAAATTCATTCATTTATCTGTGATGCACCTGCTAGAGCATTTGTCAAAGGTATAAAAGGTCACTCTGGTTATAATTCATGTGAAAAATGCACAACAAATGGTGAATATGATGGCAAATTAATTTATCCTGAAACCAATGCACCACTACAAACAGATTTATCTTTTTTTCATATGATTGACAAAAAACATCATCTCTGGGAGTGTCCTCTAAAACTGTTGAATGTTGGTTTTGTTAGTCAGTTTGATCTAGACTATATGCATCTGGTTTGTTTAGGAGTCATGAAGCGATTGATTCTTTATTGGAAAGGCCCAAAAGGCCCTTTGCACGTTCGAATTGGTACACGTGCAATGGATCAGTTGTCTAATAGTCTAAATTCCTTATCACAAAATATTCCTTCTGAATTTTCAAGAAAGTGTCGTTCTGCTCATGAAGTTTTACGCTGGAAAACTACTGAGTTTCGTCTTTTTTTACTGTATCTGGGCCCATTAGTGCTCTCAAATGTTTTATCATTGCCTTTATACAATCATTTTATGTTACTAAATGTAGCTATAACAATATTGGTAGATCCAGTGTTTTCTAAGGATTACTCTGAATATGCTCACGAATTACTTGTTTTATTTGTAAATGAAGGTAAAAGTCTCTATGGTAAAGGATTTCTTGTTTACAATGTTTACTGCCTTATTCATTTATCAAAAGATGTGCAGACACTTGGTCCATTAGATAATTTTAGCAGTTTTCCTTTTGAGAATCTGTTAGGACAGTTAAAAAAATGATTAGGAAACCACAATTTCCAATTCAGCAATTAGTTCGAAGATTAGGAGAGAGGAAACTAAGCAGTAATTTAAAAAATGATAATAACTTGGATGAGCTTAATTTACTCAAAGGTGAACATTTTAATGGCCCTTTACCTAATGGGTTGGAACATGCAAAACAATTTAAAAAAGTTCAGTTAGAGAAATGGTTTTTTTTAACATCAAATAAAGATAACTGTTTTATTACAAATGATGGTGTACCGTGTATCATTTGTAATATACTACTTATAAATAATGATATTACATTTGTTTGTGAAAAATTCCTAACTGTTTATGAAAGTTTTATGTTTCCAATTTCATCAACAAAATTAGGAATCTGTAAAGTGTCTAGAAACAGTTTATCTAAATTGCAACTTTTACCTGTTTCAATGGTTTTCAAAAAATGTCTTTGTCTCCCTACTAAAGTTGAGTCATCAGATTATTTTATTGTACCCCTGTTGCATTAAACTTTTATTTGCTAATTGATAATATAATACAAAAAAAAATTTTTTAGATTTTTTTTTTAATTAGATTTTTAAAAAATGTTATAGTCGCATTTATACTTTTATTTTATACTTTTTATTTTTAATACTTAATTATAGTTGTTTTATAATTAATGTCTTAAT